CGACTCCGGCTGAGTCGACGTCCATATTTCCTCGCCGTAGAGCTCCGACTCCGGCTGAGTCGACGTCTACATTTTCTCACCGTAGAGCACCGACTCCGGCTGAGCCGACGTCCATATTTTCTCGCTGTTGAGCATCGACTCCGGCTGAGTCGACGCCCACATTTCCTCGCCGTAGAGCACCGACTCCGGCTGAGCCGACGTCCATATTTTCTCGCCGTAGAGTTTCGACTCCGGCTGAGTCGACGTCTATATTCCCTCGCTGTTGAGCCCGACTCCGGCCGAGACGACTTGTGCCCATCCTTACACCAAATCCTGAAGTTGATTTGGTATGGCAAACACTCCTTCTTAAGCCAAATCCTGAAGTTGATTTGGTACGGCCGAAATGCCCTAAAACTACAAAGGCCCAACAGGGCCAATCATAAAAACAATCAATAACCAAGTAAAAATAAGACTAAAGATCGGATACCGAATAATCCGACCAAGTCCACCTTACGCGAAAAACAACCACAAAAATCAAAAAATCGCGTCATCTCAATACGACAAAACAACGAATACGATAATACGGTTAACTTAAAATTGTTAAACGAATCATATCGTCAAACATCTTCGCGTACATAGATTACAACTCACGGGGCCCAAATGCCCACACAATTCCATATCGTTATCATCAACACAAGAGCAGATCAATCAAACGCTTAATACCGCGCGCAAAACATAATATGGGTACCAAATTACCCGACTAGGCCTCTTAGGCCCCATTCAATAGCAGTTCCGAAGAATTGTCCATCCATTTCACCGACTTAGCTCATCCAAGAGCATAAAACGCGACTAAAATACAAGACGGCAGGCCCATGCCTGAGAACGATCAACATGATGATTGAGGGTCCCAAAGCACCCTGAAATTATATGTCGACACATATCCATACGATGATCTCTATAAGATAAAGACATGATATTATAACCTTATGTATTGCATGAATGCTATCTACCCCAGCATAAAGAGTCTCAAGCTCGAAAAATTATAGGCACAAGTCTGCCAAATCGTACTATAAACGCGACTTCAGAACAGTTCTGTTCAGAACATGTCCTAAAGTCGGGGGCCTCTTGTTGATACACAATTTGGCCTCGAATAATAAAAATACGACACGTGGATATGTATTAGATAAATATAAATATAGCAGGTTTTTCGAGCTGATTATTTAATATCAACCGAGTTCCGAAAAGTTCGGATCGTCCACGTTCGAGCCGAGCAGAATTAAGTGTCGCCAGCCAGACCCGAATATCGAGAAGACCCATCTCCGATAGACACATTAATTGCCGATAAAGTAGATGTCAATCGAAGCCTTCAAGTGTCAAGATCGGGCCCCACGATGTTACATCACATTTAATGCAAATATGCTATTTGCCTCTTTTATTATTTTATATTGCCCACTAGTGTAAAAGGGGCATGTGGATATATATATGTATAGGATGAAAGAGAGAAAGGGGGAGGAATTTTTTTCACTATTCATTCATCTTCTACAACACAAAAAAGAAGGAAAAATGGGAGATCTTCATCTCCTAAAAAAAATCAATAAAAATACATATTAATCCAACACCGATTATTCACAGAATAGGGGTGTATATTTTCGTTGATCAAATCCGTTTATCAACACATAGTTTTTCTCATAATGTTTTTGCACTTTATTAATTATCTTCTCCTTCATGTCGCATATCATTTGGCATAAATATTTCGCGCTCTATCAATTATATTTGACTATCTGTTCCATAACTTTTCACATACTATTTTCACATTTTATCAATTCTTCGTCTGTTTGTCTCATAACTTTTCGCACAATTATCTTCGTCTGTCTGTCGCATATTTTATCGCATAATTTTTTTGCACTTTATAAATCATGGTTGCATGTTTGTCGCATAGATTATCGCATAAATATTTCACATTTTATCAATTATCTTCGCATGTCTGTCGCATAGCTTTTTGCGTAATATTTCACACTTTATCAATTATGTTCATTTGTTTGTCGCATAGGTTATTGCATAACTAGTTCGCACTTTATCAATTATCTTTGGTGTGTCGCATAATTTTTCGCATAATTGTTTCGCTATTTATTAATTATATTCGTCTGTTTGTCACATATTTTATAGAATAACTATTTCGCAGTTTATCATTTATCCTCGTCTGTATGTCGCGTAGTGTATAGCATAATTATTTCACACTTTATCAATTGTCTTCGGATGTCTGTCGTATAACTTATAGTATAATTTATTTCGCACTTTATGAACTGAAAAAAGTTCAATTTTTATTTGATGTTGTAATACTTATTCTTTCTTGGGGTAAAAAATAACTATTTCCTCAAAAAAAAAAAAATGTTAAAAGTGTCGAACTGGTCCACTTCCATTCGTGTTGAAGGGTCAGCCAAAGCTTGTTGGACATTCGAAGCATAATTAAAGATGAGAAGATTGCATAGCTTACTAGACATTTACAACATTATTGCACATTTACAACCCTTACATATTTATTTGCATATATATTAGAAGTTGGTTTGAATAGGTAACTCCCTTAAATATAAGGTCTCCATCTCTCTCTTCTTCACGTCATATCTCAATTTCACGTCAGATCTAAAATTCTCTCTATGCACGCCTCGCTTCAAGCTCATACAGAAATTGGAGGAATCACTAGAAATTTTTTGATGCAGATCCCAATGGAGGAGCTAGAAGAAACACCGGAAATTGTTGCTAAAAATCGCTTGGATTTTCGACGACGTTTAAACTTCACACACCACCGGAAGCTCAAGGAACTCGACACCCTCCGCTCGTCCTCGCCTCTGTCGGCGACCGCCACACCACCCTCTCCGACCTCCACCGCCGCCTCTCCAGGTGCCTCCTTCGCGATCAATCTTTCTTTATTCCATTTTTTTTTTTTTTGTGAACTCGTGATGGCAGTATATGTTGTGTGTATAAATCGTATATGTTCAATATATTTTGTATATATTATGTATAACCTAATCAAGTATATATTATGTATATATCTTCTGTGTATATTTTCTGTATATATTTTGTATATATTACGAGGTTTATTTTGTATATTTTCTGGACTTATATATTTTCTGTATATGTTATTTATATTTTTTCGATAGGCGTTTATAGCATCAAGATGAATGATTTTTGTGATCGCATATGTTCTGTAGATCTTTTATTCCTTTCCATTTTATATGAACTTTCCTAAATAGTAGGAAATCTAGAGTTTCTTTTTTTTTTCTTTTTTTTTTTCAGTTCAATAATCTAATGAAATGATTGTAGGAAAGTTACTTTGCTAACTGATGTATGCTTTTTATTCATCCATAATAAATGCATTTTTTAGGTATTTATGCAAATAAAATCTCCCTCCTTGTAAGAATGCAATATCATTAGTATCTGTGGTTAGTTTAAAAGTTCGCCATTAAAGATAATCTTCTTAAGCTCGGGCAAGAAACTTTATAATAGTCAACCAAGCCTTTACTACAATAATGATCCACACAACTTAATTCGTTTTCACCGGCAGTCAACATGCAAGACACATTATGTAAATGCATAAGCAAGCAAGAGCCAATCGTCCTAATATCTTGGTCAGTTCCTTGCTAATTATAAGGTTCACTCAGGGACGGATCAAACACTCCATTTTCCGTTATCTGATAAACATATACAGACTTGATCCTCTATACATACAAGGAGAAACATAATGTTGAACGTTCTTCGGAGGAACTTCTACCCCAGAGAGTATGTATCCAAGAAATGAAAACCTCAATAGTCGGGAATCGAGGCAAAACGGTATCCTTGTGTACCTCTCCAGGAGTAATATGCAATCCGAGTTTCATAAAAGCCTGCGACAATTTCACAGAACATAATAAAAGTAATGAAGGAATTAACCGTATAGTATGCTTCAGCATAAGTACAAAGAAAAAAAAAAGATGAGAACTCCCAACAATATGAGCTCACATAAACACATGTTAAGCACATAATCAGCAAGAGAGAGCACAACCATAGCCCATCAAAAGCATGATTTCTATTTAGAAAGGTACAATGCATAATAGATTATCAGACAACATTTTCTATGATTTCTGGATCTCAAGTACATTCATTACGTAAAGAACAAATGATCTCCAAAGATGAGGTGTCATATATCTGGTTTATGAAGAAAGCTGGAAGGTCCTTAACCTGCCTTTACAACCAACCTTTTTATTCGATTATTTGATCATAACAATTATCATCAGTAGCATCTAAAAATTCCGTCATCTTATCGTGTCCAAGCATCTCAACAATTTCAAAACAGGGTCTGATTTGTTAAAAATTTTATAAAATCTTATCATATGTTAGAGCATGTAAGATTAAGTATAGCCATGCACCTAAAATTCCTGCAAAAAAGGCTCCATACAGAATATTATCCTCAGTCACTTATAAAAATCTCTACTTCAAAAACATAGCAAGTGATCATAATGAGCCAAAGTGATTTTACCTGGAACAAAGGTAAGAAATCCGAGTCCTAAGAAGCCGTATGCTTGAGAAAGCTCCCCTCCCATGTGACCCGTGAATATGAAGAATGCAAGCAAGAGTAGGAAACAACCGAGTAGGAGCAAGAAAATAGCTAGAAATATCGACTTCCAAGGAATCTTGTCGTATGTTCTAGGTGCATAATCAAATCTCGGGTCATGTCGATTTTGGCTGCTACCATCATAATCACTATCTTCATCTACAGCAAGACGACTATAGCGGATATTACGTTTTGATGCCATATTGCTCAACTAGCTCCTGTTACATACAAGTTTCTCATAAGCATGTACCGAAATACAATATATAGTCATTTAGACAAAAGGGTAGAGATGAAATTAGGAGAAAAACCCAAGAAACAAACTATAACACACATAAACACCAAATAAAACCTTCAAAACAAAATAAAATGTTTATAATGCATTAGCTAAGATATCTTCACTGATCCCACGTGATACCTCACACTTTTGACAAATTACATCATTTTCCAGAGAAAAGTGATAATTGAAGATATAAGTGACGAATATTGGACAGCCGCTAGACTGAAAATCTTAGATTGACAAAAAAGCTAGCTCGAACAATCATAAAATTCGAGAAAACATCATAGCAAAACGAAACCCCATTTGATGTACTGTCTCTTCATTTTTCTTTTTTCCTACAACAGTAAATCTTCTATTCCCACAATTCGAAATAAACAAAATTCAATTCAAGAAATCACCGTTACAAATAAAAATCGAACAATAAACCTCTACCTTCAACTTGAAATATTGCCAAACCAATTTGGGAAAGTCACAAAAGATTTAAAAAAAAAAAGTTACATGTGATGTCCTAAAGTTTAGGAAGAACTCCAATTCATACACCAAAATCAAATATTCATGATTTAAGTAAAAAATTCACAGAGCAGAAACTCCCACCAAGCAATTCACAGATCCGCGAAATTCGTGCAAAACATATTTTAATAAATCCCAAAATGATAATAGATAATATAGATAATCTGCAGAGTTTAATTGTAAAGACACATGAAGATACAACGTAATAGCATCAAATATCTTAAAAAAATTCTAATCGACATACATAAGAAAAGAAAACTAAAACACAAAATCAAAGTTGAATTAGCATATCATCAGATGCAACAGTAGATACTAGTAATTATCAGCGTAAGATTTAAGATCTGTAAATCCCAGATGAATATTCTTCGAAGAAACGAGCACATCCAATCCAATAAAATAGAAATACAAATTATCAACAGCTAATTAATCATATGGGATAATGTTTACCGGACAGAGGAAGGTGTCGCCGCCGGCGGCAGAACATGCTTGGGAAAAGTCAATCGAACAACCGCAGCGGACGCGTCATATTGAAGTAAACTTGCTCGAAATAATTATTTATTTAAAAAAAAAAATAAGTGGACAAAAAATAAAATAAAAAAAAACTTATAGACAAAAATCAAACACACGTATTCCGAGAATACGTTTTCAACCTGAAACCGTATTACCAGAATACGTTTTCCTTATTTGAACGTATTTTGCAAATACGTTTTCCTAAAACAACGTAATTAAAATAATTAATCTTAATTAACACAAAAAAAAAGCATTAACAGAATACGTTTTTCTTTAAAAACGTATAAACAAAATACGTTTTCTTTTAAAACGTATGTTTTGAATACGTTTTCCTGCTAAAATTTATTTTAGAATTTTGAATTTTTTTTTTGTTAATTATAATTTTCTGAAAATATTAAACGTATTGTGAAAATACGTTTTTAAGTCAATTTTGACCAAAAACGTATTACGCGAATACGTTGTTGCTTAAAAAAAAAATAATAATAATATAAACCTATTCAATCAACCAAATGAACAAATGAACAAATGAACAAATAAACCTATTCACGAAATCCACCATTTTCGTAAATCATATCTACCAATTGTTCATATGATATCATTCCATTAATAACAAATGAACAATCCGGACTAGCCAAATAATTCGAAAAATTTCATAACTCACTCTTAGGAATTTTCCAGTACACATTAACAATATAGGGACCGATAGACGCCATTTATAACCTGTTGCACAAAAAAAATTATATTTTACAAATTACAATAAAATAATGTCTAAAATTTAAAACACATTTTATTACTCCAACCAAAAAAAATAAAAAAATATTACCAATCATATAATCCTCCAAAACCTAATACCTTATCGAACAATAACATCAAATTTATCTATAATTCGGATAAATTGAAAGCCCTAATTTCCAAAAACCCTAACCCCAACAACAACCAAACAATACAAAATTGATTATTTACACACAAAATTCCAATCTCGAATTTAACATACATACATAATCGATAGTCAATTAGTAATTTACAATCTTCAAACACTAACACATTCAAACATATTATAACAATTCTCAATCTCCAAACAACTCCAAACATTGTAAAAAGTTAAGATAAGCCAATATACCTCGTGCGAATGAATTAACCGGAAAGGAGTCTCGTGTCGTTGTTGTCGGTTCACGCCGGGGTGAGAATTGGATCGAGTTTTTTTTTTCCGATTGTTTTCGCTTCTCTTTCTTTTCTTTTGCTCTCTGCTCTCTGCGCAAATGAAATGGAAGAATTTTTTTTTTTATATTTAATTCAAAAAACGTATTCCGAGAATACGGTTACCGACAGTTAAAAAACGTATTTATTTAAAAATAGAAAAATATAAATCAAATTTTTAAAAACGTTTTTTGGTTTTGAAAAACGTATTTCAACAATACGTTTTTCTTAAAACGTATTTCAATAATACGTGTTATATTTATTATTTTTTTATTTTTGATTATTAAAGGAATTTTGTATTTATTTTTTTTATTTAGAAAAAAAAACGTATTCTCGAAATATGTTTTTTTCTAATTAATTTTAATTAGTAAAACGTATTCCGAGAATACGTGTGTTTGATTTTTGTCCACACTTTATTTTTTTTTTAATTTTTGTCTACTTATTTTTTTTTAAATAAATAAGCCACCCAAACTTGCTCGCAAAAAAAAAACGAAGTTATTTGGCGAACATAATTGATAAATCACGAAAAATATTTATACTGACAACTATGCGAAATAGAGGAGACGATACTAGAGAATGATTTGGCATGTACACATTGGTGATGTTAATATGTTAAAAAAAATATATCATCATGTGTGCATACTACATAAGTGGTGAGCATATCAACATGTGTCCGCCATGGATAAGTGAGCATTACTGACGATACTAGATAAAATGCAAAATATTTATGCGATAACCTACAAGACATACAAGTTATGATTGGTATAAAAAAGACCTCCGACCAGCTAAAGCGAGCCAGAAATGCCTGGATCTCGAGATGGTTTCATGTTGAACGTCTCGAAGCAGCAGAACTCTCACACCAAAGAGGGTCTCCTGTGAAGAGCCCCCGATGCTTAACTGAGTAAGTGAAGAGAGAGAGAGAGAGAGAGAGAGAGAGAGAGAGAGAGAGAGAGAGAGAGAGAGAGAGAGAGAGAGAGAGAGAGAGGGAGAGAGAGAGAGAGAGAGACAGAGAGATCTCCTTATGTAATATCAGATGTATAATAAAGAATATAATGTAGTTTAAGGCATACCTCACTCCTTTTTATAAGGACATGATACCTTTCTGCCTAAGACGAGCATGAGGGCTGCCTCAATGGCAAGCGCTACACGGGGTGCCAGAAACAGTTGTGGAGTATAGACCACTCAGGTGGCACCACGTAGTTTTACCCACGTGGGGGTTTAATTTCCCTAACATTTCTTCTTATCCTTCTTCATATGAGATGACCTAACCTTGCACTTAATCCTCAATCGCCTCGAGGTGAGGTGTCTTTTACGTTGAGCTATGTTGTCCCTCTGTTTAGTCAATCCTTCGTCCAAATGTCCTTTCGAGCTGAACCTTCCTCAGACCTTCCAAGAATCTCCCCTCCACCTTGTTATCATCCGACTCAGTAATTTACTATTATAAGCCTCAAACAACGTCTTAAGCAACTTAACGCTTACACCGACATAGTCCGAAGTCACTCCGGTTCGCGTGACAAACCGGCGTAACTATAGAAGACCGAAGTGATCACTACCAACCGAGGTCAACATGAACCGAGGTCGTTACCACCTAAGCAGGTGACAAGGCGCCTACACGCCCTTCTCACGAACTACGAGATCTGCTATCATTCAAGTGGGACCCGCTAATCCTGTCGCCCACGAAAAGTAGCTTTATGGAAAAAGCAATGCACGAATCCCGAGATGTGTCTCAAAAAGTTACTATAAATAGTGAACTCATAATACTTGTACGGGATTCGATTTTTTCCCGAACCGAACTCTTTTATGATGAAACACGAAACAACTCTCAGAAGCTTTTCACCTCGGTTCACCTCGGACTGGGGGCATTGTTGAGCATTTTATACATACTTTACGTTCAAATCACTCATAATCACCAAGTAAACCTATCATCAGATCGTTGTTAATAACCGCATAACAACAGTTTGGCGCTAGAAGGAGGGCCTCATTAGTTGTTTGAGGCTAATCTTCGATTCGTGTTTTGTTACCCACATCGATCGCTACAACTATGTCTCATTCAGACCATCGTGGTCATACATCGCGAGATGGCCACAGTCGCAGCGCCGCTCAGTCTGCCAGACGCCAAGCAGCAGCTCCCAATATCCCAGATTATACTATTCTGTTCCAAAATCTGGAGTTTGCACGTGGGCTCGCCGCTTTGATGGCTCAAACAATTCCTGGAACGTCAGCGACTGCACCAGGACAGTCCATAATACCCACTACTCCCGCTAATCCGCAGATTCCACCGGCGCGACAAGATGGTGGCAGAACCACCTCTCATGCCACGTCTCAACCTCGCAGTCGAACGTCGCAGCCGTACCCAGAACAAGCCACACGTCATGCTGACGTTGGGCGTACTCCCCTTGTAATTCCTCGTGAAGAAACTGCCGAGAGTCAGTCTGGACACTCACAGCATTCGCCACCTCATATGCGACACCGAATCCCCTCTAACCCGGCGCAGACCGACCTTCGTCAACATACTGAGAGAAACTGAGCTCGCCAAGAGTTGTCCGAACTTGAAACGTTGCGACGAAGGATCGCCGAATTGGAGAGTCGGCAGAGAATGCCCGAAGATCCTCCTCGACGGGCCTCAACCTCGGTGCAAGTATACCTGGAAGCCGACTCCCCTCTCACGCCTGAGCTTACTTCGGAACCTGTACCCGGAAAAGTTAAAG